TGCTGAAGACCGGCGGCACTGACCAGGAGGAGAGCGAAGGCATCGGTATAGCTATAGACGCGGCCGCCGCCAGCGATGACGAGAGATTAACTAGAAGGTTAAAATTACATAAAAATTAGTTTTGTAGCAACCATTGTCTACTGTGCTAAAATTTACTTTATTCTGTTTTTTCTAACAGATTGATAGAGTTTTTACTGGGAGAGACGGACGGTACGCCGCGAGACCCGCGACATTTGTTCCGACTGTACATGGCTAAAAAACAGTTCACCGAAGCTGCTAAGACTGCGGTATGATTGAGTTTGTTTTTCTTTGAGCATTTTATTGTGATTTCTACATTTGCGAGTAGCTTCAATTTAACTTAATTAATTGCAGCCCATTCTATTTGATCACATAGCTAATCCTTATTTTAACGGAGTTTTTTGTAGATTAAAAATATTAATTTCCAAGCACCTAATGGTTTGGGGTACTGACAACCGATCTTACGGTCGAGGGTTCGAATCCCTTCATTAGACTATTGCCGTGAACCATATCATAGTTGATAAGTTAACACAAATCTACTAATGTTTTATTAAAAAAAAATGTTACCAACACACTAAATCAAAATTTTACGTGTTTTTCTTTAAACTAGTTCTGTAGTATTTTTTTAATTAGTTGTTTCTCAGTGGAGATAATCGAATTAAGGGTTAAAATTGTAGTTTTGGTGTGCAAGGTGATAATATCTAGCGCGGAGTGCCTTGCGGGGCGGTACCGCGAGGCGCGCGCGGTGTCGCGCGGCGTGTGCGCGGCGCTGCGCGCGCGCGGGGCCGCCGTGCCGCGCGACCTGCGCACCGCGCTCGCCGTCCTGCACACCTACATACTGGTACACTGGTGCACTGGTACACTGGCTTACTGTCATCTTAACCTCTAATAAATACATCTTACTTCTTACTCGCGACTTCGTGCGCGTCAAATAAAAAAACAATAAACACTTGGTGACAACATACCTTTTTTATGGTGCAAGAATTTTTAAAATCGGTCCAGTAGTTTTTGAATAATTTCTATACATACAGAAATCCAAAAATACAAATCTTTCTTCTATAATATTAGTATAGAAATACGAAAGTTTGGATATTTTGATTTTTGTTAGAGTTTGTTGCTTAAACAGATGAAGAGATCTCGATGAAATTTTGAAATTTTTATTCCACGCAGATATATTCCGAGGCAAAAGTAACTTGACATTATAACTTGAGTTAATAATGCTTAATGTAATAAAAATAGGTCCGTACACACGTGAAGCGCGGCCGGCACGAGCTGGCGGCGCGGCTGCTGCTCCGCACAGCCAACGACGTCGCGTTCTTCCCTACACACCAACGTCAGTAAATAAACTACATCGTTACTTAAATCGAAATATAGGTATTTTGAATGTTTGAATTAATATAACTTTCAGATCAAGTGTCAATTCTAACATCGACTGTGATCGAGTGCAGCCGCGCGGGGCTGAAGCACCAGGCGCACCACTGGGCGCGCGTCCTCATGCAGCCCGAGTACCGCTCACAGGTTTCATTATAAACATACTGCTATATAAATATAATAAATATGACAAAGGGAGGGGGGGGGG